TCCTTGAGAAAAGGAGTCCATCCTAGTCTTACAATATCTACAATCCACAAGAAAAGCAAGTGTTCAAGAGACGGGTCTTTCTCCCTATGGCTTACCAGTGTCCACTCGCCGCTAAAGGCTAGCTGGTGCGAGCCGTTTCGGCAGCTCCAAGGGTTGGCAAGACGCCCCCGTAGTCGTGGGATATGACTTGGCCAGCTTTGGAACCAGTCCTCAACATTGTCTTCGGGGGCGGTCTCCGTGTTCCTTCAAATGCCAACAGAGGTTGAATGACCCTATAGACTATCCCATAGGTACCTCAGTAGGGCCCTATAAGGTCGCTTAACCTCTCTTGGTAGAGAGACTCGACCACTGGTCAGCGGACCCGAGTTGCGAGCCCGTCTGGCCGATCCACTCGGCCACTTCAGGGCGGTGTTGGTGACGGAAGACTTCAACACCTTGGTGCACAACCGTTTGAGGACCCGGAAATCGCTGAATCAAGTGCAGTCTAACTAGTTGAGAGTGAGGTTTGGGTGGTTTTGGGCTTAGACTCGTCCGTCATGGGGACAATCCAAGGGTCCAAGGCGTCATGCCATCCACTCACTTCCAAGATCATTTCAGGGTGTGTTTCTGGGGGAACTCGGCACTGCAATCTGCAAACTGCAGAGAACTGATCGTGTGACTAAGACCTGAGCAGCGCAAAGAAGATGCGGTGGCTCATAGCTGTCCAGTGGGCATTGCTCACACGTTTTAAAGGATTGTCGAGCGGGTGGTAGGCCTTATAGCTCAGCTGGGGTGTGGTATCACCATGTACGACCCCAAGCAACATAGAACACCCAATGACCATCAAGGGTCAGAAGCATGGGTTTGGCAGTAGGCTACTCGGTAGACTTTTGGAGGTCCACTCTTCGGGGGATGGTTTTTAGGATTGGCACCCTTTGCTGGAATGAAGCTGAATGAAGAGTGTGGGGCGATATTTGGGCCTGGACATGGCACACATGAACCAAGCCTTCTCCCTCAGCCGAAATCGTCGCCACTCAGCCAGTGGAACCGACCGACACTGAGAACAACGCAGCAAATGCACAATGCTACCGCACCTGACAGCCGTCCGCAGGTGACACTGCACCTCTGTTTCGAGCGTTCGGTCCGGGTCCGTCGGTCCGGGTCCATCTGCAGGAAGCTGAACGAGCTGGATGCCACCACCAAGGTGCCCTTCATTCTGATCGAACTCACAGGCGCGGAGCTTCACTCATTCAGATCTGGTTGGGAGATGTTGGGAGTGCCAAAATGGCAGCGGCAGGATTTCAGGAGGATTAGGAGGATTAGGAGGATTCGATGATGATTCGAAGAGGTTTTTTGGGCAATTGGCGTTTAAAAGACCTTGTGATTTGAGAACCAGAGGGTTGTTGAAACGAATGTTAAGAAAGCATTAAAGATTCACACTTCGGGGGCCAGGTCTGGCCTCTATGAGAAGTGATTCTTGCTTTCATGGACAGTTTTTTTGGTCGTGGGGCAATCTTCTCAACTCCTTTTGCCGGAATTCGAAGGACCCGCGTTTTTGGAATTGAAACTGAAACATCTCGTTTTGGGAGTTGTTCGTGGCAAGATGACGGTAGGGTGTGGTGCCGAGACTTGACATCACCACCAACAAAAAGGGCCTGTGGATGCGTGTGGTGCTGCGGTTGGTGGGACTGGGTGCTTGGGACTTGAACACTTTGGCGGAAGGGGGCAATGAAGACTAAGCGGCTTGACAGGTGAAGGTGATGGTGAAGGTGAGATCGAGATCACTGGCAAAGATGAGTACGGTGTGTACGAGGCACCTGAAAACAGACACGCTATCCTTGGCGGCTGAGATGAAGCAAGATGTGTCGTTGAACATCCTGCTCCAATCAGTTGAATTGAAATGAATTGAAGTTCTGGGCCGGCAAGTGTTTGTTCGACTTAGTGTCCGTCAGTTGGAAATGGCAGGCCCGCAGTGGATGCTACTCTTAGGCACAAGTTCCAGCCATGTGAGAAGCTACGTGCTCGTGTAGCAGAATTCTGCTACTACTTCATGCGCTGCACTGGCAGGGAATAATATGCACATGACTTAACACATGACTCATTCATTGAGGAAAGGCAGTCCATTTCCTTGTCCCACTGACAATGTGAAATATGCTCGAATGAGTGGTTGACATGTCGTAAAGTGGTTGCCCATGTCTTTACAAGCACCCCTTCAAAGAGTCAAGGGCTCTTTTAGCTTCTACTCGTAATTGGCCATGGTCCAATTTCATGTTTGAGAGTGTTAGGTGAGTTTACCCGTCGTGTATTTTTTCATTTGTATTTTGTTCAGGATTGTTTGACCATTCATCCTCAAGTAGACAGAATCCAAAAGACTCCCAGACGTTTGGCCTATTTGCCATGGGTTATCAATAAACATTTCCACTTGCCTGAAGATAACTTACTGTATCTAACTGCATATGAGTCACTGCAACATTGAGCCACAGGCCCCGAGGTCATCACGGATTCGTTCCCCAAAGGCGTCGCCCCGTCGCTTTGAGGAGCTCAGAAGCTTCTTCCGCGACCGCTGGGGTTGTGAAGAAATGGAAGCAGGCGGATCCGGGCGGGAACAGGCGGAGGTTCGGAAGTCTTCGGTTCTATGCATCCTTCCCGGGATGCGGACAGGTTGAGGATTCCCTCAGTAGACACGGTGGTTTAGAAGTTTTGAGTGAAATGGGGGTAGATGGCACAATCTCCAGAAGGTGGTTTATATGGACCTTCATGGACCCCATACTTTTGTTCAAAACATCGTCGGGTGCCACTGCCATCCACTTTGGAAGTAGAACTTGGGACAACTATCCTCACCAGCTAGCTGGTGCTCCAAGATTTACTTACCTGTGGGGTGCTACTCGTACATCATGTTGAGCCCCCATGGTTGGAGTTGTTGATCAATGTTCAGTTCAACCTTTCCCAGACTCTTCATGTATGCCATATATGTCGATCAGTTGGGGTGGTTTTGATGGTCAATGTAGGCATATATATATCACGAAAGGTAGCCCTTTAGGGGATACCTTGAGTTTGTCTTGCGAAGCAAGTGTTGGGACCCCTACCTTTCGTGTCTCCCTCCTCTCAAGTATATATATGGCAGTCCCATAGAGTGTTTGGGTTTACTTACGATGTCTCCTGCGATCGAATCTTTTGTGCCATCAAGCCCTTGCCTTGCCGGCATGCTGCTTTTTTTGTGAGGCTGTGTTGAATTCCATTCGGCCCAGTCGGAGACACCGCAGCTTGCTTGCTTTGCTTATCTTTGTTTACATACATCGGTGCACCAGTTGAAGCCGGTCCTCCAAAAGCTTGCTGAGGTATTTGCACCCACGTGTTTTTGTCTCCTGTGGCTGCAGGTGATTCACCCTGTGGCGTCTCTTTGGGTCCTTTGTGGGAACCATTCCGGAACCATTGGGCTGCGGCACATAGGCATGCTTCAAGTAGTCTTGACTGGTTTTTGTTCATTTATCCATATCACTCAGCTCATGAACATGAGTTTTGTTTTGGTTCATCACTGCATGCTCGAGAATGCCAACCAAATGCACGTTCTCAGACACCACTGATTTACTGTTCGCTTCAGGTGATGAGACGGAAGACACGAAGATCCCGTTTTGCAAAGCTCAGTTTCTTGGCAGAACCAACCCAGATCTCCGAGTCTCTAAAAAGGAAACCAGAAATGGGAGTTGGACCTGGCATCGCTGGTCCTGCAGGGAAGCGGCTTTCAGGTGTTTTTCTTGAATAGTATTTACCCCTGCAAGACAAGGAATAGAAACACAAAAAGATATGGGACCCGGCTCGGGCCATTGGGACCCGGCTCGGTGTTCCTTCGAAGAATGGATTGTGGATCCTACTAAAACCATCTAAAACCCTGTAGGAAGTGGACAGTTCATCAGCTTGGGATTCATGGATGTATAGCTGTATATGTATATAGAGAGAGAGATGCACATACCAGATCAGTGCCGCAGTGGCTGCCACTCCCCTGAGGTTTCTATGGCCGGGATTTGCCGTGCAAGGTGAAGACGGCCTCAACAACATGGGCCGCTTGGACGTGGCGCCTAGCACTACCACTACACTAGCACTACTCATGCTACTACCACCGCTACCACTACCACTACCACTACCACTACCACTACCACTACCACTACCACCCACCACCACCACCACCACGACGACGACGACGACAACGACGACGACGACGACGACTACTACTACTACTAACCCTACCACTACGACTACCACTACCACTCCTACGCCTAGTGCTACTAATCCTGCTGCTACTGCTCCTGCTCCTGCTTTTGCTCCTACTGCTGCTACTGCCACTGCTACTAACTACGACTTCCACGACGACGAGGATGACTGCTCAAACAACAACAGTCAGTGAACCAAGCATCTCCCAAAGGACGCTGCGAGGTCAAAAACCCAATCCGGGTTGAAGTGTTGGTGTGATCATCCTCTAAAATGCAGACTGATCTGAAACGCACACCGTGTTTGAGGCTTGGATGGTTCACGACCCGGTTTTAAAGGGCCACGCCCCACGACTCGCGACCCCAGGCAAAAAGACCATGGAGATCATCGAGACTTGGATCATCGGAGGGGTCCCGGAATATACTTTCGCCCATGCGGTGTTTTGGTTGGAAGTTTCACTATATTATTAAGGGCTCAGTCGCACCTTCTGAGAAGGTGGGACTGGGGTGGGTTTAATAGAGGGTCCAATCATACCTTCTGAGGAGGCACTTGGAGCCCTAGGGTATATATTAAGGGCTTGCGCTGTTTGCTATACATGTTTTCGTTGGAGGTGCAGAAATCTGGATCCCCGAACAGATGCGCTACTTGCAAAGAGTTGTCAATTTGAAGTTCATGTTTTGTTTGGTATCCAGTTGCGATCAGTTGGTACAATCAAACAGATGCGTTTGAAACATCCCCTTGAAACATTGTTCCATCTTTTGCTTTCAAATGCCCTTGTGCCCAGCCTTTTGCCATCCAGTTGCCCTTAGGATTTCATGTGCGGCACGCTGAGCTGGACCTTGGCAGTCGTCAACGGCGGCAATGTGGGCGAGAACCGGGACACTCCTCCTGCAGTCCATCGTTCGATGGCGCTCATGCTTGGGATGCGCAGTTGCGGCACCGAATGTTGAAGCATAAAGATGGCTGCGTCAAGAGTGGTGGTTAAAAATGCATGACCACCAACTTGAGCACATATGCTGACGTGGTCTACCCTATGTCACTTTTTATTCTCACCTAACATGGGGAAAAAAACGGGACGAAACGGTCGACATGGCACCTCTTTTTTGTTTTAAAGGTGCCATGGTTTGAACTTCCCGTCCGTTTCCGTGCCGCCTCATGGGCTGTCGCGGAGTGGGTCGTCGGGACCGGCCGGGGTCACCGCTGAAGCGGCCACCCGTGCCGTGGCGGGAGGAAAGAGAACGGTTCTCTCGGGCTGAGTTTTGGGCGGTTATTTTTGGCAGCTGGGCTGGGTTGGTGGGTTTTTTGGCTTTTCAATTTGAACTCGCAAAGAACTCCCAAAGTACCAGTGATTCGGGTCTGAATTAGAGTTAGACGATGTTAGACGTTGGTTTGCCAAGAGCTGCATTTTGATTGGCTTGACGCGAAATCTCTTTTGTGCCCAGGATGTCCGCGAGACACAGTTGATCTTCAAGGCGGATGTTGGGTTGAACGCGCTTGAAAAAGGTCAGGTGCTGGAGTTTGTGATCCAGCAGGGGTGACGGCATTATAGAGGATTCATGGCAGATTAGATTAGGTGTGGAGGCCGGGCTTCATGCAGGGATCACCCAAATGGATCAAAACATATATCAAAGTTACTTACTGTAGGTTTCTTTTTTCTCAAACGGATGTGGAGGATCACCGTCAAGTTGTGTTTTGCCAATTTGACCAAGAGTTAACGGGGCCAGTACAGTGATTGACATGGGTTATTTGGGGCAATGATGCCCATCAACTTGCGTTGATCTCCAGTGCTTGGCTGCTAAAGGCCCATGTAGACTAGCATGGTACAGTAACTTATATATAACTCATGGTTCAGAGAAGTATGATGAATTATGGCCCACACCATATGCAACTGAGAGGCAGGGTTGAAGTTTGGTGCTTAAAATTGTCCCCGCTGCTTTCTGAGGTGCTGGGTCAAATTGGAGCTTTGCATTTTCGTTCGGGTCCACATGAGGGTAAGCAATGGTAAGCAATGCAATCATAGACTCCGTCCCTCTACCAGTTTTGGGCCGGTGAACCGTCCCACTAAACAACTCTTGGTAAAAGCGAACAAGGACCTCTTGGATTCCATGTTCCCTGCGGCATTTTTCCGTCGTCAGGCGTTGGCTGACCGATTCATTTGTTGGTCCAGTGTGCTGCGTGCGGCGTCAGGCGCCCCACCCGATGAATTTGGTGGCCCCCCATCTGATGGTGGAGCTGCGGTCTGCTGGATTCATCGAGATCTGTGGGGACTTGGAGGAGGCCACTCCTGACATAGAGTGGTTTGCGTGCCGGCTGATTGGATGCAAGCCAGCCTTTTTTGAGAGGCGCCCGCTAGTGGAAGCACGGAAGGCGGTCAGAAGGGGGACCGCAGTGGCTGATGGTCCCAACTGGGGCTTAAAGGAGGATGGAAATGGTTGCCAAGCACCGAGGTATAGCCTTGCTTAGTTAGAGATCTGAGATCTTGGCACATCTTGGCTGCCCAAAAGGCCCCATGGGGGGAAGAAACGACCCCCTTCACGATCTTGCCAAAAGCTCAAAGCAAAGCAACGAGTCGAACCGCACGAAACCTCCGATGTTTCGTCCACCTCCACGGACAGGAACACGGTGACATCCTCGAGACGCTCGACGGGTACTTTGCCGATCGCTTCGTGGCCGAGCGAATCGATGGCTCCTTGGCACCGCACCAAGCATGGACCAAGCTGAAAGCTAACCCAGACACGCCACGTATGAAATATATCCCAGACACTCCATGTATGGCATATTTACCTACATTGACCCCGAAAACCACCCCAATGATCCCCAATGTATGTAAATATGCCGGTCCCATATATTATAATATGACCGTCATTGACCAATTTTCAACCAGTGTAGTTTAATATAGTTTAATGCTTCATACATCTTCATACATGGAGTACATGGTAAGACATGTGACCCTCCCCCTCACACTAACCCCGAGTTTCTGGGCTGTCGCTTCCTCTCACTGCATCTCTTTCTCCAACTCCTGGGCGTAAAACCGTTTTCCTCCTTCCAATCCTGTGGCTGTTCCATTTGGAGATCCGTTGAGAGTTTTGGTGTTGGTTTGGGGAAAGTTCGTTCTGTGCGTCAAGTGTGCAGGTTCCAGGATTGACACGATCGCAAGAGGGAGAATTGGCGATCGTTGGCGGGAACATGTTTGATCATGTTTGACTGAACAATATACCCAAGGATAGAGATGTGAACGCTCATCATTGAAGAGGGGCTCCATCCATGAATGGAATAGTTAAAGAAAAGGGCCGGGTCATATATGAACTGTTTGCAACTGCAACTGTATATGTTATTCAATGCACCAGAGTGTTTGGGTTTGATGAATCGCTCAACATCAACACTATGCACGGTCCATGCAAGCCTTATGAAGCAGGTCTGCAACCATGCGGCAACCTAATGAAGCGAAGTAGGTCCGCAGGTCATCCCGTGAACCAATAGGGGGACCTGCCTAACCAATGGATTTAGATGGAGTCTGTTTGTTTTGGTATTCCCAGAGGTCTTTGGGTGTAGGGGACGTGCACCTTATGCGGTAGTAGTGTAGCAGCAGGACACTGGCAGGAAGCACTTGGTATTTCAGAAACATTCAGAAACTGTTTTGCCCGACCTTTTCTAGGCAAGTGTCCATGTTATGTTATTTCATGTAAACTCTTCATAAACAACATATAAGTCTTTGTCCCATTGGGGTGCCTGACTCTTCCCCTCCGTGAGAATCCATCAACTGCCACGGCTGCTGTAGTTAAGGCCATGAAGATTTCTGCGACAGGTACTACCAGGCTGGCCGAGCCCAGAATCGTCGGGGTTGAGAAAGATGAGGATCCTACTTTGCCGGCCATTGGAGGAGCTTGACATTTATTTTCCCAGTGTCAAATCTAAGCACCAGTACCCAAAGAAGGCTTGACATGGTATGGCGGTAGTTGTTCACAATAGTCATGGTATGCCATGGTGTTATCCTCCGGCCGGTCCGGCCAACAGGACGACTCCCACCGTACATCAGCCGAGACAGGCGGGGGAGGACGTCTTCAAGGGCAACTCTGGGAGTCTGGAGAGCAACTTCGGCTTACTGCAGCTTGGGCCGCAGATGCTGAATCACCTCTACTTCTGACGTTTCTTCTATCCAGTCTCATCCACTTTGGACATGTCTTGATCATACCATAATCATTGGAGGCACGGGGAAGCCAAGCAATCATCGGTGAGCGCGACTTGTGGACTCAGCCACGGGGGGATTGGGGTTGTTCGCAACCAAACATTCGTGGGGGTCTTAGGAATCCACCATTAGATAATAGACCTTATTGTGTTTATCGCATGCTGTAGCCATGGTTGAAGACCTACCCATCAAAAGGGGATAACCATTGTTTTTTTGGGGATTACGGGCACCAGTCTTCATCGCGCCCGCTCAGGTGCACCAACGTGTGCGACATGATCACGCAGTGGGAGGCCGGTGGCAGAGACGTGGTGAACACCCACGGTCCTTGTGATCTGTTGTTTTTTGATGTTGTAGTTTTTCGAACCTTACGTTGAGTTATATAAATGTTTTAATGATTAATTTTAATGGTTGCTGGACACTTGTGGTAGTTTGGGCAAGCTTCCTCAACCCTATTTGTATCTGTATATTGCTGTAGTAATTACAGTATATATATAGTTATATAGTCATAATCTTGCTGGAACCCAACCGCCCCAAGACAACAGCAGTCCATTCCGCGTGCTGTCCAGTCCTCCAGGCCGGCCCACAGCGTCCCCCCCAGTCACATGGCCCAAAATGCACCCAAAAGCACCATCAGGGCTGGAGCTTGGTGGCCTGCAATGCCTCCAACTATGGCGCTGATGGGCGGCACTCCGAACAGCCGCTCCGTTCCATTCGGTGGCTGTGCCGTCGCAACCGGAGTGGTGACATTCGCAGCTGACAAGCTGACTGAGTCTCCAACAAGTTGTTTCAAACGGACCGCATCAAAGTGAGATGCCTAAATCAATCAATCACAATGTTCTGACATCTTGCAAGATTTGCAACCGCTTTGGTCACTACATGTTCCCAGGCAGATGATCTTCCGGCGAGACTACCATCCCTTGGGAGATTCGCATCTTGAAGCAAGACTCGACCGAGGGAAAGATCCCAAACAAACTCACCGGCTTTTAGGTGAAACGGTTCGACTTGAAACCATTAGCCTTTCCGCACGGTTACGCGTGTTTGTTTTTCTTTGCTGAGGAAGTATTTGCAGGTCATTCTCAATGCTTTGGGCAACATCGAGGTGAATGGAAAGCACGTGGCACAGCTGCAAGACGCTGAAAGCATCTGAACAGCTGAGCCCGATTTCGCCAGCTACGGCCATCCTCAGCATGTAATCCCACACTGAACACCATACACGGTCCTTTCCCTTGCCTGACGCCATCCAAGCAAAGGATACAAAAAATCATAAGGACAATGTAAAGTATATATAAAGGATCGTCCTTGGGCCTTGGGCTGCTGCGTTTACAAAGCCATTGGCGTTTCGATAGGTTCTCGTCTCATTCAGTGACGATGTTGAACTCTTGGGCTAGCGGCTAGGTCCTTGCCATTTGCACATTTGCACAACGCACTCGGGAGTCAAGGAACTCCCGGCTTTGAGAAATCTTGGGGGCTGCAATGGATCATCATCGGCAAATTTGTTCACAAAAGAACACATACAGACTGCTACCACCTGGAGCAAGCGCACGCGGCCAGCAACAGTGCGGCTGCAGCGTTGTTAGGTGAAGGAGATCCACTCGAAGCTGGATGGATTCCTGCGGAAGAAATGGGGCTGTGACACTTGGTTTCCGACCGAGCGAGATCGAGTGAGACCTGGGGGCTGAACAGAAGGCATCCGAATATCACGTTTCTTTTTCTTCCAGTCAACAGTCTGAAGAACTTAGTTCGTGACTTGTCCATGATGTGCAAGATAGCTTGATCTCGCAAGTGGAACTGGAAGAGAACTTTTGCCGGTGAAACCTTCTTCCCAGTAATATTTGAGTAGATGCGTGCTTTGGGGGGCCCAGATCCCAGCAGCTATTATCGATGCTAGCTGCTAGCTTTTGTGTTTTGTGGGGGCCACTGCATAACAGCCAACCTGGTTTCAAGATGTTTCCAGAAATGTACAGCATTTAAAGATAGAGTTCTATTCGCATGCCATTGAAACCCTCAGAAGCTCTCACTCGTATGCAAAACCACACTGCCATGGAGCGTTTTAGTATGCAAAAGCTTCACCCGTCGACTTGTGAGAACTGTATTGGGAGGCCAGACTGGCCTGTCGGACTGGCCACCTTTGGCCAGGAACGTGCGGGCCACTTCAGCGAGGGCGAGGGAGATCAGAAGACGATTTGCCGAAGGCAGACCGGATCGCATTGCCCATCGGCTCGAGCCAGGAGTGCCAAAGAACGTGTGGCTGTCCATTCGTCTCGTGGGACATCTTAGTTTTATACTTTGAAGTACACCAGTTGTTCCAACAACCGCTTGGATTTAATGGAGTTGTGACATAGAAGCATCGGAGATTGGAGTTTCTTACCGCCTATACGTATATATTGGGTCTACTATTGCCTGTACAATCATCACTATTTTTGAACAAGGCCTTTACTAACCATCATCATCCACTGTTGCTGGTAATAGGATAGACCCGACGTACATTTTTTACTCCCCTGCAAAGAACATGCTGCTTTTTTTTGTGCAGGAAATAAGGTTCAACTCACCTTGTACAAGCAACATAAAGCATCGCCTTTGCAACAGATTGAGCACCTTTCCGCTGTTTCACACTGAAATCGAAGCGACTGCAGGTCCTTCTTTGAAGGGTATGGCAATATATGGCAATTAGGAATTGGCAACACATATGTAGTTGGTTCATTTGTTCACCCATTCTTCTCCTTGGCTTACCCACCTCCATGATTAATTTTGCAGGTATACTTGGGACGTGGAAGACCTCAACATGCTGAGGGCCACGGCAGACGTGGTGACCTTCTTCGAGTTGCAGGGCTGGGCTCGGACCTCGGGCTGGGCTGGGCAAACTGCTTGCGGTGCGTGGCATGGGGCCCCCAACGGTGAAGAATCAATAGGTACAGGTACACACATTGGGCATCTCCAGTGCCTTCCTGCTAGTGATCCGGGCCAAGGAGATCCAAGTCGCTTCTCAACAGCAAGTCCTGGAGGCTCGGACTGGCGCCCCACGCGCAAACGCGCGGCCCGTGGACGTCCACGACGGTTCTGATCACCAACAGCTTGCGCTTCTTGTGCTGCCCTACTGTTCACTCAGCTTTGCTGATAGAAAGTGCCTGGATCATGTTGCAGGACTTATTTCCACCCTCAGAAGTGGGAAGACTTATCAGCCTGTTTAATCGATGAGGTTTATCAAGGTCCTGACTAGACGATTGTCCACTGGCATATGGCCTGGGTGTGGGGCAGAACCCCTTTTACTGAACAACTACCACAGGGTTGTGGAAGTTGGCAGAGACACCCAGGCATACAACAACTACAGTTTGGTAGGGGTAGGAATGAGGAAGCTGCAGGAGTACCAATCCCTCACCGACCCGTGAGATGGATGTAGGGTCAAAACCGAGAACCCCCAAGTCATGATAGATTGAGAATGATTGAGATCCCGAGTAGTTCAGCCATCATATCCGTGCTGAAATCCCTAAAATCCCCTCAACTCTGTGAAAAACGGCTAAACAATAAATCATCGTAAACCAGTTACGGTACAGTACTCAAACAACAAACACACATAAATAGATATTATATATATATATTCAAAACATGTGGTCTAAATTGATATCATGTGTATATAAATCAGTAGTCCAGGTGCTTCATCGTTCCCAAACCTTCCCTGTCGCCTCATCCTCCGCCCTGTCGCTCGTTCTGCCCTGTTCCGCTCGTCCTGCTTCCGCTCGCCGCGGAGCAGGACGGCACCTGGTGCCGCGAGCAGCAGCTCCTGTTCCGCCCCGGACGGACAGAGGCGACGCGCTGTCGACGGACCGAGACCGCACGGAGGACGCGAAGAGTTCGGCTTTGGCTTTTGGGATGCTGACGGTGCCTGGTGAGGCATGTCATCCATAGGGTGACACAGAGAATGAAGTGGGATCTTAGTTCTTAGATTCTAAGATTATATAAGGCTTGGATCACACACCCAAACCCACACACGATCCATACCTCGATCCATGGGGTATGGATCAAAAGGTGGGTGTGTGATCCAAGCCCTTGGATCACACAACCACCACCACCACTACTACAACCACCTCTCCTGCCAGCACTCCTTCTGCTACTGCCACTGCACTTGCCACCTTCTGCTACTACTGCAACAGCTTTACTGCTGCTGCTGCTACTGCTACTCACTACTATCACCGGTATTACCACCACCACAGATTTAGCGGAAGCCACTAGACTCAGCTTCAAATTGGCTTCCCATTCCAGCCAAAATTAATTACCGGAAGCCACTAAGTGTGGT